TCGGGACTTCATTTTTTCGCACCCACTCAACAATCAAGAGGGACCCCCCTCTGCTATTTTGCCGTCGGGTTTTAAACAGCGTGTTTTCTGTAGTTGACCCTGTTTATTCAGCGCAAAATTCATACAGCACCCTGATTGATCAGCGTTTTTTTTTTTTTCTTTTCTTTTTTTTTTCTTTTTTTTTTGAGGCCTGAAAAAACAAGGAGCTACGAGGGGGGGACCCTGAGCGATCAGCGTGCCCCAAAACGAATCTGAGGCCCTGACTGGAAGTACCTCCAGTAACAGCCAGTATTGTTGGGCTGAGAAAAGCCCTCGGATCTTTTCAGAGACTAAGTCCCACTTGTATGAAATGTTTGAGTAGTGCAGCAGAAGTGTTGAGTAGTTGAACCCTTGCACTAGTATGTGAGAGCAAGTGATTGATTAAAAGAAACAAGCATACAATAATATATAGAGAATAAGAAATGAAGCAGTTGTAGAATACAGTTTGAAGAAGCAGTTTATCGAGTCGCACAGCGACTCGATTGTCTGTTCGGTTACCATCCTTGCAGTCGCAACGGTCAATCGCAACCTCCGGTTACGACCCTTCGAGTCCCTTCGCTCTTTCGTATTCTTTCGTCCAACCTCCTCCTGTAACCTCCGTTGACTCGCGTACCCGATAAGACTTTCCTCGAGTGTAGTGTTACACTTCAGAAACGCTTAAATCTTCAAGGTATTTCCAACACTCCCCTTCGTTTCTGGAGTGCTGACGTGTCCGGATTCAGTGACGTTTATCTGCCCGGTCAGCAGCATGCAGTAATCGAACTTTGCTTTCGCCAGTTTCTTCGTCAGGTAATCTGCAGCCATTTCTGCCATGGGGCAGTAACTGAGTTAAAGTCTCCCCTTCGCGATCTCATCCTTAACGAAGAAATACCGTAGGGCGATGTGCTTGGCTCGATTCGCGAACCCGTTTTTGTTCGCGATTTTGATCGCGGATTGGTTGTCGCAGAATAACGAGAAGGCGGGCATGGTCGCAATTTTCGCTTCCTCGAGCAGCTCCCGCAGGTAAACTCCTTCTTTGGTCGCAGAGCAGAGAGCGATGTATTCCGCTTCAGCCAAGGATAGCGCGATTAATTCCTGCTTGCTCGATTGCCAGGAAATAGTCCCGATAGGCTCTAGTCGGTAGATGTAGCCTGTTCTGGAACGCCGATTTTCCTTGTCCCCCGCGTGGTCGGCGTTGACATAGCTGAGTAGTTGTACGGACGTTGGTGTTACTTTGCTGTAGGTGAGTCCGACTGTCGACGTAGAGACGAAGTAGAGCAGTGCCCTCGAAGCCGTCGGTGGGGTCTGCAGTGTTGGCGATGTTGTCCAGGTAATGCTGCCGCGTTAGTCTCTCATAGAAAATCACATCACGTGAGGCCACGATGGTTTTGTCCTGGATGTCGAGAAGTTTCCACACGTGAAAATGTTTTGCGATGCCGCGGTGTAGTCCCCACCGTGCTCGTTGTGAAAATCGTCTTGCTCGGGCTGTGTGGGGTCTGTAATGTACCATGCAGCCGAAGACTCGAAGTAATTTTGTGCTGCCCAGTTTTCCTATCCACAGCAGGTGTGGTGAAGCGCTGTTGGGAAGTGATGACGAGGACAGCAAGTTGTGGAGGTGGACTGCATGCGTCATCGCGTCAGGCCAAAGAGTGTTGGGCAGTCTCGTCCCCAGGAGCAGCTTCCGCATTGTCGTCTGCAAGGTGCGGTTCATCCTCTCTGCGACCCCCTGCTGTTGGTGGGCATAGGGCAGGGACACCAGGCGTTTGATGCCTCTTTTTGCCAAGTAGCTCTTGAACCTTTGTGACTGATACTCTAGTGCCCCGTCTTACTTGAAACTCTTGAGTTGGGAGCCCGATTCTCGTTCAGCGATGGGGAGCCATGTCGTGAAGGCTTCGAATGCTTGGTCACGAGTCTTGAGGTTGAAGTGTTAGATGTATCGTGTGGCTGCGTCGATGAACGTGATGACGTAGTTGTACTCGGCTTCACTGTCGTCTCAAAGCATGTTCAAAATATCGCTGTAAACTTTTTCCATCGGTGCGTATGCAGGTGCGCTTGGATTGTGGTGCGACGGGAAAGGTTGATGGGGAAGATCAGCTTCGGGGCACGTGAAGCATCGTGCGCGAGGTCGTCGAAGCTCCTAGCCGCTTGTTGTGAGGAGAGCGTCATTTTCTAATACTCCGTCTTGTATGGTTTGAAGAATAGTGCTGTTTGCAGGGTGTCCAAGTCGTTGATGCCAGATGTCGCCGGGAACGCGATGGCCGGGAGAACGCTGGTACAGGTTGGCGTTGGAGAAGAATGCAACGACCGTAGCGGGACTGTAGTAGACTCCTCGGGTGATGGGCATGAGCTGATCTGCTTCTGTTGGTGGTCCTCGGATTGCTGGTGATGGCGCCCGGCTGAGTCTTGCTGCTGCTAGTACAGGTGATGTCCGGGAAGGGATACTTGCTCGTACTTGTCGTTCTTGTCGAATGACTGCTAATGCTCGTGTTCTCTCTGCTGCAGGGATGGTGTCGGAGTACCAGAACTCGCCTGGACTAAAGTCGGGGTCAAGATCGGGCGGGTGCGTCCAGGCGGCAAACGACACGATGCCGTCGCTGTCGGCTCGGGGACGAAGTCCAGTACGAAGACGCCCGACTTCAAGAGAGCGCGACCGATGAAGAGGCCGCCCTTCCCGTGATAAAGACGAAACTCGTTGGCGTACGAGTCGCATTCTAGGTGAATTCCTTTCGTCATTAACTGGCTGACACTTAGTAAATTGTATCCCAGTGTCGCGGTTGAGGCGTCGTTCTCGTTGCACGAAGCGCCCCGAGGAACACATGTGTTGACCGCAGCAACTGTCCAGGAACCAGGTGTTTCGCCCGGTGGGTTCGGCGTTGGCGACTGCAGCATACGTGGGGTTGACCTGAAGACCTTGAGAGCATGTCGGCGGCAGTTCTTCTTCGTCTGAAGCGTAAGTGGGTGGTGACCCGGGTGTGCAGCTGTCAATGCGTACCATCCAATTAATGATATTCTGTGCGCCTTGTGCAGGTGGAGAGGAACGGCTTGGCGGATTCACTTGAGTGGAGGCGACTTGCGGATCTGCTGGACGATAAACTCGAGAAGTGTGCAGTTGACCTTGGAGTGTCCGGATGTCTGACAGTTGTGGCAGAACGGCGGCACGATGGTGAGACCTCTGGTGTCATGTCGGTTTTGCTTGTCGCGTCGATTGTGGTTGTTGTCGTTTCTCCTTTGAGTGTTGAAGACTAACGGTTGCTGCTTTCGTGATTGTCTTTCTTCAAACAGGTCCATCTCCTGTTGTTCAGCATGAAGCTCGACGCAGAGGTGCATCTTGGAAATTCGTCCGTGGGCGTGAAGAAGCGAGCGGGTGGTTCTCCATTCTGGTCCGAGCCCGGCGAGAACAAGTGTCACGAAGCTTTCTTCAGTGATTGTGCCTCCGCACCGAAGCAGGCGGTCGCGAAGCGTCTGGCAGCGGCTCATATACTGCATCGCCTTTTCCCCGGTTTTCATTTGTATTGTTGTCAAATGCTGCATGAGTCTGCTTTGTGTCACACAGTCGTTTGCTTGATAGAGACATTTTAGATGATGCCAGGTGAGCTCCGCGGAGTTTGCGTAGCTCCGATACGTCCTGATGCTCTGTTGCTCTTGTGGTGACAGGTTTCGCAGGAGGACTGTGTATGCCAGTAGCGACTGATCGTGAAGATTTCCTGCTCCTTTGCAGTGCCATTGCTTGGAAATGGCAGGGACCCGTTGAAGTATCCCAAGAGGTGCGCGGCCTCCATCAGCAGCTCGAACTCAAAGCTCTAGGTAAAGAAGTCGTGTCCGTTGAACGGTGAAGATGTCTGCAGTTTGATCACATGTGAAAACTGCGCCTGGAGACTCAATATCTCGTTTGGTGTTTGTTGTGATGCAGCTGCTGCTGGTTGAGCACGAGGCGGCATGAACTCGAACGTCCCTGGTGAAGAGTGATAAGGCGCAAAGGTAGGCGCCTGGTTGTGCCGCCCGAACGATGAGTTGTCGAAGCTCATCGGTGCTAACCCCATATTTCCTCCGTTGCTCTGTGTTGAATGCGCAGGTGTCCTTGTCTGCTGCTGCTGGTCGAAGTGTGACATGAAGCTGAAGAACCTTTCCATAAGGCTCGGGTCCACACCTGAAGAGGGTGAAGGGTCCATTTCTGGTACTCTCCTGTTGTTTCTTGAGCAGCGCCGGTTTCGGTTTGCAGTCCAGAGGTGTGAAGTCCAGAAGTGCCGGGTTGAGTGGCTTGGGCGCTGGGTGAGCCCGTAGAAGAATTCTTGCCCTTGTTGTCCATGTCTTGTAATCGATGAAGATTTTGATATGCTGACTGTAGATAGGATGTTGTTGACGGGAGTTTGGTCTCTGACCAGCTCTCATACCATGTTGGGCTGAGAAAAGCCCTAGGATCTTTTCAGAGACTAAGTCCCACTTGTATGAAATGCTTGAGTAGTGCAGCGGAAGTGTTGAGTAGTTGAACCCTTGCACTAGTATGTGAGAGCAAGTGATTGATTAAAAGAAACAAGCATACAGTAATATATAGAGAATAAGAAATGAAGCAGTTGTAGAATACAGTTTGAAGAAGCAGTTTATCGAGTCGCACAGCGACTCGATTGTCTGTTCGGTTACCATCCTTGCAGTCGCAACGGTCAATCGCAACCTCCGGTTGCGACCCTTCGAGTCCCTTCGCTCTTTCGTATTCTTTCGTCCAACCTCCTCGTGTAACCTCCGTTGACTCGCGTACCCGAGACTTTCCTCGAGTGTAGTGTTACACTTCAGAAACGCTTAAGTCTTCGAGGTATTTCCAACAAGTATTAACAAGTTGTAACACCAGAGTCAGTGTTACAGCCTTGCGATACTTCAAGACTTAACCAAGGATCTTTGGTGGAATGGTAGACTAGTAAGGCAGCGGAAGTCTTAGAACTTGTTAAGTGTTGCCCAGAATTTACTGAAGAACAAGTTAACAATTGAAGTTGTATAAGCTACTTTTATATCTACTAGAAGTACCTATTCGGTGATGTGCATGTTCGAGCTATTTGCGCTATGCGCTCTAACCGCTACTGAAAAGAGCGCGACTGTTCGCGTGACTGAAACGGCTTGCTGACGTAATCATCCAGACGAGTGCTATTTGCTGACGTCATTCTACGGATGGTAACTACAGTATCGGAACAACTTACAGAAATGCTTAAGTACGATTCTATCACAACAAGTAGGACATATCAGCACATGTGTGGATGGCACCCAGATGGGCCGGCCATCACAACAGACATCTTCTGCCTCCTCCAATTACTCGCTGGCCAACCACGCGTTGCCAAGTGGCGGCTCCCTGTCCACGGGTGGCACAGCCCGCACATCGACCCCGTGCAGCTTGATGCCGAACCGCCCTCTCGCCACGTCGCTGAACTCCTCATCCGTCGCCACGTGCTGCCGGCTCTGGTGAGTATGGTGGGGCGCAAGTGGGTGGCGCGGGGCATGGGGATTGAGCGGAGGGAGGGGAGGGAACATGGGGTTGGTGGGAGAGAGAGGAAAGTGTTGCAGCTCGCAGGGAAAAAGTCAATCTAGACGTGTGGTTCATGGCCACACGAGTGGTTCATGGCCACGCGTGTGCGCTGGCCAGCGCATTTTTTGACAGATGACACGTGGCACCAGTGCTCCACTAAAGGCTTGCCCATTCTCCTCCAAAAATCATCTCTTCCGTCGAGGTTCATACATGTGAGCAACATGGCTTGCAATAGGTGGTGGATGGTGCTAAGAGCGCGAGCCATGGGCCAAGAGGCAGTGATCATGTCAAGCTTTACCACAAAACGGGCATAACACTCAGTGACCCATCAGACCTCGCACTTCCAACTCACCTTCACCCCTCCTTCCCAATCCACCACCCCAGCAGCACGACCACTGCACGCCATCTTTCTGCCTCGTGCCCTCACGTGCACGCGCTGCACTGCCTCCGTTCCCTGCATCCATCCCCACCACCCCCACGCACCTGAATTCGCCCCTCTCCATCCACCAGCACCACCTCCCGGTCGCGAATCATCTCGCGCCCCGCGCCCTCCTCCTCGCTGCGCACGCGCACCGCCACGCGCGTGCCGTACAGGGCTGGGCCGTGGAAGGGCGGGTCCAGGTGCGCGCGGTGGCGAGAGCACAGCTGGTTGCAGGGAAGGTGGGCGGGAAGGGAACGGTGAGTGGAGGGGGGGGGAAGCACTGCATGCAGGCATGGACGCGCAGAGGGAGGTGGAGAAGGGCTGGTGTGCAGACATCACGGGCCTTATAAAAACAGGCTGACGAGAGGGAGGAGAGGAGGTGAAGGGAGGAGGAGAGGAGGTGAAGGGAGGGAGGAGAGTAGGTGAAGGGAGGAGGAGAGCACCTGTTGGAAGTGGGAAGAGTCATGCGGCCACGAGGAGAAGCGGTACAGAGGCTGCCAGTGCGCCTCCCCCCGTGCGTCCCACTCGCCATGCGCTGCGGTCCAGCGATGGTCTCTTTCACAGGGGGTCACTAGGCACAGCCGCTCCACCACATACCAGCTGCCATCTACCCTTGGTGCTGCTGCCCCTCCTCCTGCGCGCTCCATACTAGGTGAGCACCGTATTCCTTGCCCATCACCATCATCCCTGTAGAAATCATCATCATCTAGTTGGTCCTCCAAGGCAGCAGTGTCCCTTCCCCCCTCTGCATGTCCTGCTGCCCATCTCTCAGTGCTTGCGTCTGCTGCTCTCGTTTCCTCCCCTGTGCCTGCTGCAGAGGCACACGCCACCCTGCATGCACCTGCCGCCCCTCCATCCCACCCCTGCCCCTGCATGCCACTGCTGGCCCCACCACCAGCGCCAGGAATGCTGGCAGCAGCAGCGCCAGCACCAGAAGCACCACCAGCAGTAGCAGTAGCAGTAGCAGCAGCAGCAGCAGCAGCAGCAGCAGCAGCAGCAGCTTCCTTCGTACAGTGCATTGGTTGAATGCCCCTTGGTGGGTGCGAGGGCGTGGGCGGCGGGCATGGGGAGATTCTGAACACTCCTGCGTCTTGGTGCTGAGGGGTGAGAGGGGATGATGAAGCGGTGGAGGGAGAAGAGCGGGGGCATGCATGAGAAGGGGAGGGCGATGTGGGCTTAAGGTGGAGGAGGGGCTAGTGAGAAGATGAAGGGAGGATGGAGAGAAGGAAGGGCGGCAGAGGGAGGCGACAGAAGGGGAGGAAACAGGAATAAAGGAATGCACGGAGCAGAGGGGAGAGGGAAGGCTGGAGGAGGAAGGGAGGGGGGGATGCGGAGAGGGAGTGTGGGAAACAAAAGCTTAGAAGCGGACACGGAGACAAGGAGAGGAGATGGATGACGGGACCAGCGGATGGAACGGCGTGCCTGATGGATGCCTGGTTGGAACAGCAGCGGCTCCAGGAACATGCCATGTGGCACAACGCTGTGGGGGCAGCAGGGCGTGCTGACGTCAGCAAGCCATGCCATGCCGTTGACGTGAACCAGCAGACACATCTGCACGCATGGGCGGGAGCGAGCATGGGGTGGAGAGCGCATGGGGTGGAGAGAGCGTGGGAAGGGAGGCACGTGCATTGAGGTTCCTGGCAAGAGAATGGTGAGGGCAAGCAGCTTGAGGGAATGCATGCGCCACACTGGGCGATGGCGGGGATGGGGAATCAGGCATGCTGGAGGAGAGTGTGGGTGGGCCAGATGTGAGAAGGCACGAGTGGAATGGAAAGAATCATGTGAGACGGGTAAGGCCGTACATGATCGGGCAGCTGCGCTCTTGCTGACGAGGACGGTGCACAGACTGACTGGACATGCTGCCGCGCTGAGTCAGCAGCACTCGAGAGCCGTGCACTTGGAGGCGAGCAGGGCGCGGGAGGACCAGGGGATGCGGTTGTAGCAGGCACCACTGCAGCAGTTGAAGTGGGAGAGGGTGCAGCAGCAGCGGGACGAGAGGAGGGGGTGGAGGAGGAAGGCAGGGGTTGGTGCGGGTGGGAGTGGGAGTGGAGGGAGCGGCAGGAGAGCGCCTGCAGGAGGTCCACCTGGCAGCCCAGATGATGGCGCAGCAGCCACGCGAAGAGCACGTTGGACTGCACGGAGAGTGGGGGGAAGAGGGGGTTGTAGGGGATTGGTGGGAGGGGCAAGGGGGATGGGGAGAAGTGAGGATGGAGCTGAGGATGGGGAAGAGAAGAATGGGGTAAGTGGAGAGCGTGGATTGATAATGGCAGAAGAAACAGCGCAGATTCACATGTGATGTGATCCATCAGGAGAGAGCGATCCTGCGTCACGAACACAGCATGCCACTGCCGCACCCCATGGCCATGCCTCCTGTTGCTGCACCCCAGGTACAAGCCACACGCCGCATGCACCTGCCTCACCTCATAGCAGGAGCCCCCTCGTTTGGAGCACACTATCTTGCGGTAGAGCGTGAGTATGTCGAGAGACGTAGGGCTGTGAGAGAGAGGTCTGCAAGGAGGGGTGAGACAAGAGAGGATACGAGTATAGACGGGGAATTGAGCTGTGGACCCGGGGGGGTCAGGGCGATGGTGAAAGGAGGAGCTGGAATGGCGGCTCAGGGGTTTCAGGATTGGGGTGGGGAAAGAGAGGGGTGCGGGAAGGGGGGTTGGGGAAGGGGGGTTGGGGAAGGGGGGTTGGGGAAGGGGGCAGAGGAATGCGATTTTCAGATTCTGAGATTTTTTGAGAGGAGCAGGCCAACTCACGACAGCAGGTCTAGAGGAATGTTCCTCGCATGTTCCTCATGCAGCTGCTGGAACAGCCCCACCACGTCCTCGCCCCACGCCTCCTCCCCGCCGCCCCTTCCTCCTCCCCCTCCGCCCTCTCCCCCCATCATCCCCCCCACCCCCCCAGCCATCCCCCCGTCCCCACCGGCGCGCCTGTAGGGGTCAAAGCGCACTGGCAGCGTGCCGGCGTGGCGGATGCGCAGCAGGTAGCCGCGGAGCATCTTCAGCGCTGAGGGCGGCGCCGCCTCGTCGTGCGCGTCCCAGGAGAGAGTGGTCATGGCGGCGGGGACTGGGGGGAAGCACGCGAGGGGAGAGAGCGTGGAGGAAGGACGGAGGTGGGGAGGGCGGCGCACTCATGACTCGCACGAGGTGGCCCACACACGCCTGGACAGCCGATCACGGCGGGGAATGGATGCGATACAAACGCGGGGGAGAGGGAATGGGAAACACCGGGGAAAGAGGGAAAGGTGCGGAGTGGATAGGGTAGGGGGCGGGCTGGCTGTGATTCAAGAGGGCGCGAGGGGAGTGAGAGAAAGCCTTTCTCCGTGAGGGAGGGGCGATAGAGGAGGTGCAAGGAGGCGGTTTGACGGCAAGGGAGGTGGAGCGGACGAGGTGGAGCGGACGAGGTGGAGCGGACGAGGTGGAGCGGACGAGGTGGAGCGGACGAGGTGGAGTGGACGAGGTGGAGCGGACGAGGTGGAGCGGACGAGGTGGAGCGGACGAGGTGGAGCGGACGAGGTGGAGCGGACGAGGTGGAGCGGACGAGGTGGAGCGGACGAGGTGGAGCGGACGAGGTGGAGCGGACGAGGTGGAGCGGACGAGGTGGAGCGGACGAGGTGGAGCGAGGGGTTCGTACAGGGGGGGCTCACTAGGGGGGTCCAGGCTGGGGGGTGCGCGGGATACGGACCATCGTGGCGGCCAGGGAAGGCCGGCAGGGCCATGGAAGCGCGGTGGGCGGCACGCCACGACGAGAATGGTGCCTGCCGCACTCGCGCGGACAGGCGGCGGCTTCCGCGTTCACGGGGAAAAGAGATGCGGCGGTGTCAGATGCGAGAGTGCCTGTCTGCGACCAGGTGGGCGTCACTCCAGCGTTCCAATCGGGGCGGCTTGCTGCGCGCTGCTGCTGCACGCACACGGCGCGCCACGACGGGCTCGCGTGGGAGAAAGTGGCGCGGTAGCAATCGGTGTCGAGAGTTGTTCAGGCCCGCAGCTCCAGATGGCCGTGGCGTGCAGCGCGTGGCGACCGAATCGTGTTGCGCGTGGGCGCGGTGATGAACGTGACTCGGCGCAGTGGAGCACAGACTGGTTGCGCGACGCTGGTGACTCGCGGTAGGCTGCTTCGATAACAGCATCACCTCAAGATCAGGGGGTACAGCATTTTACACTGCTCTGTTCCGCGCACATGAATGTAGTTTTCCTTAACTACCCTCACCGAACAAGCAATAAGGAAACAAACTGTCCAAAGAAGTTAGTGAACAGATACCGGGCATCACAGAAGCTTGCAAATGAAACAGGATTATCAGCATGGAGCAAGAGGTCACATTCATGCTGTGACAAAACTAGAGGTTGAAATAGCAATGGGGGTTCCAAAAGAGTTCCCCTTGAACTAGGCACTCTTAGTTCTCTAAGCCAGACACACTCTGTACCGAGGCTTGCTTTCGACATCCGGCCTTACGAGGCTTGCCCGTTCTGCCTTTGCCTAGCAGCCTAGCTTCTGTGAGGGCCAGTAGGCCTTTGGACACTCCCTGCTGCAATAAGCCGACTTGCCGCACCGCATGCACTGCTTCAACTTCACCCCTGCGCCTTTCATGCTGCCACACCCTGAGTTAGCACACACCCACTCATGCATGTCGGAATCTCTCCTAAAAGCCGCCTCATACCGGCCTTCCTTGGTCTGCGCGCAGTAGCTCGTCTCCCCCAACAGCATCTCCCTCAGCGACGCCAACGAATTCACCCCTCCTGGCCAAGGCACCAATAAATTCAGCGCCCTCTTAATCCACTCTCCAGCCGCAAGATCCTTTTCCCTCTCGTCATCTCGCCGCCTCCACTCCCTCCACCCAAGGTCCTTTCTTCGCTCGCTCTCCGCGCGCCTCATCCCCGTGCAACACCTCTCAAACCGCTCCTCCTGCGCATCCGCCAGCCCTCTCTGCGCTGTCCGAGGACGAGGCACAATCGCTCTACTCGGCGAGGCGGGAAAGTAGATTTTGGTTCCTTATATACTCTATGTCCTCGGAATTCAAGCAAATCTGCTTTCTGTCAGATAGCTGAAGGACTGTGGGGTTCGAATCCACGGACCTAGGGTCAACCCTGCCACCCGCTGCACCCGTTTCAGCCGAAACGAACCAGGCCTCTCTCTTCCACATACATTCCGCAAATTCCCAAACCTGCTGCTCCGGTTCGGTGCCGTTCCCAAACTTGCTGCTGCACCATGCTTGGGAGGTTCAGCCATGCAGGACCTTGGAGTGGCGTCGGAATGGAAAGAGTTCCCAGACGGGGACATAGAAGAACTAGAGGCAAAGGAGAGAAGACATAGAAAATGCTCAGGACCATTTGAGATTGGGAGCTATGGTGGTCTCACAACTTTGGGAGACCAGGTTACAAGCTTTCTGAGAAGGTTCGCCCCTGAAACGCTGGCAAGGGAAGGGAGGAATGGGGGTGTGGCTCGTGCCATAGCTGCGTGGATTGACCGCGTGCAGCCGGGCGACCCGAGGTGGACAGGGCTGGCCCTGGGGCCATGCGCCGATGGCAAGCTGCAGCCCATCCTTGGGATGCCGTTCGAGGTGGATTCCTTTATTGAGTCCATCGCCGCCATGTTCGCCCTGCCCCCCGTCTGCACCAAGTGCCATCGCTGTGTCACCGAGTACAACAAGGCAATATCATTCGCCGCCTTCTATGTTTCCTTCGCGTACCGACCATGCGTCATGCTGGTGCGGTGCGTGCTCTCCCTCTTGCCGCCGCGTTCTATGGAGTTACAATCATTCCTGCAGATGATGGGCATTCCGCCGCTGCCAGCGGACGTGCCGAACACGCTGGTGGAGGCGCTGCTGCGCGGGGTGCTGGAGCTCAAGCGCGTACAGTTCCTCTTCTCCGCTGGCATCCACATCATCGGCACGGAGGGACGACTCGACGATATAGTGGAGCGGAAAGGGGCAGGGGATGGGGAGAGGCAGGGGCGAGGGGGGGAAGAGTGGAGGGTGTGGGAGGAGGTGGAGAGCTGGCGGATTGCAGCCTTTCGCGCGTGGCCCGCTGTGGAGCAGCAGTTGGAGGTTGAACCCACGCACTTGCTGGATATCGCCATCCACTCGCATGTCGACGAAGGCCTTGCTATCTCCCATCAGGTGGTGTGAACATCTGCCGTCCAGCAGAACAACGGCAGGGTTCACTTCTACCACAGCCGCAATCGCCTGGAATTCTGCGCCATCTTCTGCATCCAACGAGATCAGCAGAGTCTCCATCTTCTGCAGCTCCACGATCGACTCGACCATTGAACATGATGGTCCTTTTCGATCGAAGAACCAGTGCTGGCAGAAGAGTCGCTACTCTGCCCATTAGGTGCTCGAGCACTTTCCCTCTTCTGCAGAGCGTCGCCATTCTTCTTGTCTTTGCGATTTGGGCACTGAGCATCAAAATGACCGACTTCCCAGCATTCCCAACAAGCTTTACCCTTGCTCTTCTTGTTGACAGATTTCTTCTTTTCGTTGTGGCTGTCCTTGGACATTGCAGCAAGGTCTCTCGATGGAGATGTCCATCGCCTTTGCTGCTGCTGCTGCTGCTGCTGCTGCCGAGGAGCTTGTCCCGACGCCGCCTAGTTGGATTGCGGCAAAGGAGACTCCTTACTCCGCTTGATCGCCATAGTGCACTCTTCTTCGACAATGTAGCTCGTTAGAGTGTTCTCATCGCTGGTCTTCCAAACGTCAGGAAATTTCAGCATTCATCAAAGGTACAGTAGCTGTACTGCGCCGGCAGACCTTTGACGACATGCGTCAACGGCAGACCTATGACGACATGCGTCATGTCGGACGTTATCGAGTACTGCACTTCATTCATCCGCAAATTTGCAAGAATCTGCTGCGCACGAGTGCAGTAGGCAGTAGCAGTTTCATGCTCTACCATCTCCAAACTCGCCAACTTCTGCTCGAGTTGCGCGATGCAGATATCGTCCGTAGCCTTGTAGGTCTTCATGATGAACCGCCAGGCCTGAAACCCTGCGTCCACTCGCAGACGGCTAGCCTTCAACGCCATCTTCACCAAGGGCGAACAGCAGCGCGCAATCACCATGAATGTCAGCAGCTGGGCAGAGCGGAACTGCGCGTACCGCAATGCATCTGCCACAGGAGGGGCTTTCGTCGATCCATCGACAAACCGCTTCAGCTTCGCAATCTCCAACTGGGGCTCGATAGACTCGACCCACGACGCCAAGTCATGTCGTCCCTCAAGGAGCCTTGGCACCACAGTCTTGTCAGGAGAAAACTTGAAGTAACCGAACTCAGGAGCAATCCCTCCATCCTTCGAGGCCGTCGGGAAGTAGACGGTAGAGTGGTCGACAGCATTCTCTGTGCCATCACCACCAACAAAACTGTCTCCTTCTACAGCGCTCTTCATCTTCGAGCTCGTCTCCTTCTTCTGCCCATGATCCTTTTTGTCGCCCATGCTTGATCCTTCAGCGCTCGGCGATTCTCCTTCTCGTACAACTCCACGCGACTCTCGCACTTCGCCTTCTGCCAAACCCTCCACATTATCCTCGTCTCGTGAGGCATCCTCAACACGCGCCTGCGGATGGTCGATTTCCCACTGAACTTGTTACCCCATCAGCATGAAGTTAAGCTCCCAATCTTGCGCGTCGAGAGTGTCGACCACCTCACGGACGCCAGAGTCGTCGTCTGCCATGTCGACCAGCTAGACCATCTACATGACCTAAACATGGCAGCATTGGCTTTTAACGTCAAAACATCGTGCAGGTGTACTTTGCTAATTCAGCACTGTGCAGCAGAACGTTCTCTACCACCACTTCGATGTACTCTGCCAACTCAGCATTGGGAGGTGTAATCCCTAGGTAGCACTGCTGGTGAAATGTCAAGCTAGCATTGGCAGGTGTTCACCAACCAAAACAATTGTACCTGACAATTCAGGGCCTTAACTGTCTCTTGCTCTGCACATGTCCCCAATTACGACCATGTGCACAAGGTTCATCTCGTAGATAGATTAAGTTTCGCCCAGGTTCAGGTTGGTTCCTCTTCTGCCGCAAAGAGAATTCGTGCCCTTCTACAAAGTCGCATCGTGACGAGGACCCACGTCCTCTGCCAAGACTCTGCCGAGACTCACGCGCCCAAACTCTGCCGGACCTCGCATGCCCAAACTCTGCCGGGCCTTGCGCGTTCGTACTCTTACGAGCATGAGAACTTCATCTTCTGCTGCTGTACACTTCTTTCCGTAAGTTTACTCTGCCGACACTTCGATTAACCGCTCTCTGCCGATGATGCAGAGTCTTGCCTTGTCGCCGAATCTCTTTGCTAACTGAAATTGTTGGCGTCGGCAGAGTCTGTCACCGTGCCCCTTCTGTGGACTCTGCTGCCCTCTTCTGTTGACAGGCCTCTCTTTTGGAGTTGGCGTCAGCAGAGTTCACCAACTATGCCAAGGTGCCACTTCCGAAGACTCTGCAGCCTTCGCATGATCAGAGCCATTCTCAACAGTTACTACAACATCAACGACCAGAAGACACATGACGACCAGTGGACCTACACTTATGCATGCATCCACACACCGAGGCCAATTGATGGAATCCGTGCTAAACTGGACATGCATGAGGCATACAGGAGTCACCGTCATCGTCACCAATAGCCTACTGGATGGAAGAGGAGTCAAATGGGTTGAGCATGGAAATCTCATTTGGTTTCATGTTCCTCATGTTTCATCATCCTTTTGTTTATCATATTATTATCATTATATCAGAGACCAGGCTCAGAATGTACTGACGCGCTATATCTAGCGTAATCCTGCGATAATCCCTTAAAGCCAATAGCCTCGCATGGCTATACGCAGGGTGATTCTATTTCTAGAAGAGTCTATTCCCTTTGGATAGGATAAACCTGGTTACCTGAAGAACCTTGGAAGTATAAAAGCACTTTGTATCGATCGATAGTGCAACTTTCTCTCGACCAATTCGATCATGTGACAAATAGGGTATTTATTCTTGATGGCCTGCTTGTTAAGAGCTCGGTAATTGATATACATGCGCAGGCTTCCATCCTATTTCAGTGTC